GATTATAATAATATTATAATAATTTTTCGAGCAGCACAAAAGTACAGTTTCGAGCGAAATCAGATTCGAGCTAGGCCTGCGGCTCGATTAGATTACGCTTCCTGCTGGTTTTTATGTTTGCCAGGATCGATCTACATCTCATTATCAAATTCAAAGCAGGTTTCGAAGAGACTGAGGCCATTTTTCCGCTACCTACGCTTTTCTCTGGCATACATGCGGACTAATTTATTCGGATGATGTTTACAAAATATTTTCATAATCTATTTCCAATATGATTACAATCGTTATTTGTGTTGTTCTATTACAAACAAATAAATGTTTTTTTATTTATACTCTACTCATTATACTCATACTCTATGGATGAGTGCAGTTGGTGACCACCCTTATGCAATAATATCACTACTAATTTTGGTGCATAAATTATAATTGCCAACTGCACTCATTTTGTATTATGTAATCTTTAAATTATTAAGTGTTGAGAAGATAATACAAAAAATATACTTAATTTATATATTTTCTAAATGGTTAGATATAATACATCCAAAAAATATCATTACTATGCGTCCTGGATGCTTGCGTGGTAGAAATTAAATTAACCAACAATTAAAACTAGTTATACCTAATAGTTTGGAACCAAAATGCAGTTACTTTTCAGAGCATAACTAAATAATTTGCGAATTTTTCTTAGAACGATATAATTATAGAAGAGAAAATCTATTTTTAACTTCTTTATAATTTTTTAAAAAGTACCGAATAGTCGTTTTCATTTAGGCTAGCTTCTCGGATTTTTCGCGTTCTCATTCATTCCGCGTTAATTAAAAATCGCTTAAAACAATTCACGAAGCAGATAAGTTATCATCGGGCACGCGTTAGGTGCGGTAAAATAATCGAAAATTGCACGGGGATTGTATTCGAAAACTGCACTAATCGCGCCCGCGGTACTTTTAAGGCGCTTTCTTTCGGATAAAAACGATAGTGATTAATTTTCATACTGAAATTATACCAACAGTCTTGTGTGTTAGAAAATAAGCGCAATTAAAATAATAATACTACTCGATATCAATAGAAGTTAACGCAATTTATCTTGACCTTAATTCATTATCTTCGAATAAAGATTTGTAAACCTTTAGCGCAATTATACCGACAATTACCTCTGCAATTAACACAGTGGCAAATTATGTATTTTTTTTATTTACCGTTTTAGAAATATAATAGAAAAAATAATTTATTATATTATATAAGGTATATACGATGTAGAATGACTGGAATAAATAATAAAATAAATTATTTTTTAATTATTTCTGGCAACACTGTTATTGTACTGACCTTAGTTAATTTAGCCACAACAATAAAATGCAACAATGTTTGTTTACAGGTATGATAGGACATGTATGTTAAGTATTACAAGTAAATGCAGTAAAAATAATCCCATCAACGGATATATCGAAAAAAACACAGCTTTATATAACATATTAGCCGATGATAAGGTAAATGACAGAAATATAAATTTTAAGTAGGCCTAATTATATGATAAATTATTCGGCGATAACGAAATTCTAGCAAAAAATAATCGATATTGAAAATATGCTGTTGCACATCTAATTGCTTTGTTTTGTTAACCTTTGGCATTTCGGTTGAAAACAGGAAAAAATCGTGAAATCGACTGGTCGGAATTTATTTGTCGAAGTTTTCGGTCGACCTTCGGGTTATATTTTATATGCATTATAACGAAACCGCATCGCCCAGAGGCGTTTCCTGTGCGATTCTTTTTTCGGTTTTTCGTTTCGTTTCGTTTTTCATTCGCCGCGTATTCTTCACAATGCCGTCTAAACTATACCTATAGAAGAATAGAAACGTTAAACCACTTTTTTCAACTACCGGAAACCGGTTCGGTTTAGAAATCTAGTGGGCTTGCGAATTTTAGGCGTGATTACTAAACCAACGAATAGAAAAATTTGGCCTCTAACTTGCCATTCCTACGCCTATACCAATGCGAATCGACGAAATAGTGGGAACCATTTTGTATAAATTATTATTACAAGGTGACTCAAACAAAGTGATTATCGGAAATACAAGTAGAGTTAGAAATTATAGGGTGAGCCAACGAAGTATTACTCTTATTAAATGTGTAGAAAAACATGTAGAAAAAAACCTTGGGATTCACTTTGTACGGGGAAAATTTATTCAATTTATCGCACGTACCTATTCTAAAAAAAATCGTATGCAATTTTCGACACAACAATAATTAGAAGCGATTATTCTAATAATATAGGCGTTCCGAAAAGTAGGCGGTTTCGTAAAAAATTTCCAGAAATAAATTATTTACGGAAAAAAGCGCGACGTAAGCGAATAAATGCGAAACAATTATACATTTAGACACGTAAAAATGATTAAAAACAATTTTTTTCGGTCGGTGCGAAAACCTGAACTGTTATTAGGTATAAAGTTTTCATTGCGAAACTATACGAATATAATTGCAGGTCTGGGGCACTGCGATCGTCAGAGCATAAATTTCGTACAATAATTTTCTTTAGGAGGCCATGAGAATGCCACTAAATTATATAATTAACCGGTTAAAGTTTAATCACATAACTCGCTTTGCTCGTAACTAACCTTACCCAAATCTGATGACTTTTGTACCCACAATGGCAACACTGTACCATTTAAGGGATATATCGATATTAAATCCTTCGACATACCAGTCATCATATGCATAGACATTGGCATCTAATATTTGTTGTTCTCAATTTTTTTTGTACCTACATATCTAGGTAATTAATTAATAAGGTATAAGTAGGTACTAGAAATTGTATTTGTTCGGGTAATTAAATGTGAACTATAGATATATCACAAATCAATTAAATGATTATACTATAATCAACAATATCTTATCGAATAACTAGTAAATCGTTTTTCTCAAGAACAATCTGTCGGTGCTATTAAATACAATTAGATATTTCTATGGAGTTAAAGCAACAATTTTAGCAAAATTAACAGCCGTACAATTTCAGAAAGTAGTTAACCTTTACGTTTTTAAATAGTAACATGACTTCCGTCATTGCTTTTTTTATTAGCTAATTTAATAGGTTCGGTTTCAAGGATGATTTTAGCCGTCGAATAAGTCCCCCTTGTTCCCTTCCACGCCGTATGTGCAACGTGAATTTATTATTTTCCAACTGATAAAATTCAAAGCTATTGAAAACGATAAGATTAGACCTGCGGCATTGAACGTTCGAATTTTTCCTCAACTAATAAACAAACCGGTACATAATTTTCCTGATTTACTGCGGGGGAATTCGGCGCATCGTAAACCCGAAACGTAATTGCATTTTCGTCGATTGTGTAAAAATATAAATATAATAGAGCAACGCACTTGGGAAGCAATTACACACGACGCTAATAAAAACCATATCGCAGGAATGAATAAATAACTCCGATATTAAAAGAGTTTCATTGATAAAAAGGTCGGATAGGCATAAACGTAACAATGAAAATTATACTGGGCGAAAACACAATTAATTAAACCAACCTAAAGGTACAGACCGAATAGAATAGCTGAGTACACAAAGGCATATGCGTTTAAAAAGTTTACAAAGCTCACCTGATTATCAAGATTTAAAAACCAAATTTATTGACATTATTAAGTAAATTGATAACAAACTAATTCATGTTTGCGCATCAAGCGGTTTTAGCTATTTGAGTCGAACTGTAGATATTGTTAGAGACAGGCAATTATATATACCTGTAGGTATCTATATAGATACGTAATAAGCGCATCGATTTGTGATACACATTTTACAAAAATATGTTGGTTTGGTTAGTTACACAGTAATTATTTTATTGATTATTTTAAAACTAAAATGACCTCGAGGTATTTTCCGTTCCCGTCAATAATACCTGAAAACATTTTCATTAATGGATTAATTGTGTGAAACGCGAAATGAAAATTCAACTGTGCACCAACGGAGCGCAATTTCGCGGAAAACTCGAATGTAATTCCGGCCACTTACGTATAATTAATAAAAAAAATATATTAACGGGTTTTTCGGACGCGCTGAATTAGAATAATTAGATAAATATTAGAAATTCAGATTTTGTTCGAATCGATTGTGAACCGCCATTGAAACGAATTAAGTTAAGCATTATCACTCCATGAGCGTAGGAGAATTTTGAAAAAGGTCGCTAATAGCATAAATTAATTTTCCAAAAATTAAATTTGTTTTAGCAGAAGATTAAGACTATTAAAGAGGACGTGCTGTATAAAGGAAGGAAAATGGGATAATCAACAAGTAGATGCGATATTTAAAATATGCTATGTATAATAATCAATATAGGATTGAAGAAAACAAAATAAAATATTAAAATGTGTATAGTGAATCGATATGTGTGTGAATGTTTGTTTGTAATTTTTAATCAGATTAAGAATAATTTAAATTGCAAGAAAATTAATTAACGAGAGGTCGTGTATAGAGAAATGTTTTGTTCGGAGTTTGCTCGGATCCAGAAAAATACGCATCGAACCGTTAAAAAAAGCAAAATATTCGGCCGGCGATCGATAATACTCCCTCCAAGTACTATCGCTTTAATGAAGGAAATGGCGAATTTTCCAGAAAAAATAAAAGAAAACTAATAATTCGGCGCCGTTACGGAAAAACGCGACCACGACGCATACGAAAAAAGTGCATCTTAAAAATCATTAAAAGCATCGATGCGAACGAGGCGACCGGAAAACTCCGGTCCCCGGCCCAACCGAAAACCCCCCAAAAAATCGATGATGATGATGTAGTTTAATGGGAAGAGTATTGTTCGAAATTCGAGTATTTAGTGCACATTTGTACAGTCAACAGGTTATAAAATCCACGGTGTGCTGCACGGGTGTATTAGGATAGGCGCTCGGCGTCTCGTGGTTTTCGCGAGAACGATGCGCGCCCCTTCGCTATCGATCCGGCCGCTTCAATTCGGCGGAAAAATAAAAGCGGAAAAAACAGCCCTCTACTCACCGACAATATGAACCATGGTTTTTGTCCATCTTTGAAGCTCTCTTCTAATATTCCTTCTCTGTTGAATGCATCTCGAAAACGAACACTCCGCCATTTTTTCCGGGCGGCAAGTTTGTCACACTGGTTTCGACGAGGTTAATATTTCCCATCGCTTCGGATCATTCATTACACTAAAATCCGGAGATTTTTTTTCGAAACGCGCCCGCACTATTTCCCGCAAGTAAATTCGAATTCGTCTCGAAAGAAATTCAAATTGTTATCCAAGTCACTGTTTGTTTGTCTTCGGATTCGCACGAAACACAGTTTGTATATTTTTTTATTTATCAATTAGAAAGTTTTCGGTTAATTAACACACTCGTGAGGAACTGATGATGATTTTTTTTGCTGTAATTTTTGTGGTCGTTCGAGTCACTGGAAAACTCCTCGATTATTCGGTGGTTTTTTCGCCATGGTTTCTTAAGAACCTGCAAAGAAAATTAAAAAAAAAACTGAGCACTTCGATCGGAACAGGTCGGGATAATCTCAAAAAACCGGCTTACTTGCGAATCGAGTTAGAAATTTTTTTTAATTACATTGCGGCGCGTTGCGATTTTTTTTTTTGAAAATTTGCCAATGTGTTTACGGAATCGTGCCGATATGAATGGTGGTCGGCATCACTACTGTAGTAACGTCATATTGTGAGGTGCAACAAGTGCGACGCCACTCGGCACTTGCATGCACTTGCATTTGCCCTTCCCCACGCTCGCTAGATCGCCGTCGTGCATCCCTATTATCTATCGTCTCGTTCTTGCGTTTGCCGGCCGTATATACCTTAGTTTGTCTTCGGAAATGCTTCTGCCATGGGCGGCTCGGCCGGCCGGCCCGAGCGGGGTTCGCCGAAATTAAATATGGAATTACTCGATGCTCGAACGCACTTTTTTTGTTTTGTGTGTTATAGGTTATCGAGTTGCGAGAGTTATCTGTGTTTTTTTTTGCGCAGTATCGCAAGAATTTCCTGTTTTTGGGGGAATTTTTAGCAGGAAAAAGGAAAGGAAAAGTTGTAATGTGATTTATTATTCAAAAGAGAAGTTTTTAATTTTGTTTGTTAAATTGGTTATAACTCGAAAAAGTTTAATTTTCTGTTTGACGATTTATTATAAATTGAATTTTTTGATAAAAATAATGTGAAATTGACTTTCTACAAATTTTCCTTTCTATTAAACTATTTTAACTATATCAAAAAGTTTGTTAATTTAAGTATGTAGGTATTTCCTATGAATATATTTTTTCCAGTATAAAATTTCAAAAATAAACTTCAGATATAAGTGAATTATTAAGGGGATGAAATTACCTATATTTAAAATAATATATAAATTAAAATATTGCTGGGAAAACCACAATTTATGGTTAATAATTTTTAAAGAATTATACATAGGTACCTAAATATCTATCTTTAGGTAGATCAATATTTTTTTAGTAAACAGTTTTTGCTTATACCTACCTAAAAACAAAGTACAAATATAATTTCAACAGATTGAGTACCTACCTATTTTTATTTTTTTAAACAACATTAATTATATTGTTCCCATTGTTTTTCATTGCTTCTTATCGGCTTTTTGTTATCAACTTTTTATGTCTGTTTCGAAATTGTTAATTACTAGCGTATATTATAAATCTATTTAGCGAATATACCGAATTAATTCACTTCGGGTTGCCTAATTACATCTTACCATACATAAATATTTATCATACTTCCTTCACAATCAATTTAGTACTATTATTTCATTCATATAATATTGTAGTAATTCGTTTGGGTATTGTAAAGTAATTATATAGATCAGAATTTGCAAAAAAATGGAAGTTCATATTATAACTGGAGGCTTATATGAGTGTGAGATGCCATACATCTAATATTTAAATGCCCACAATAGGCGTGGAAACGTAAGGTTTCGAAATATGGGATATAGCCAAACTCGACGTCGAAGAAAATTCCGAAAAAAAAAGGATTAGGTAAAATTACATCACACTAATATTCGATCGTAAAAGTTTTACTAAGGATTCTTTCCTATAATATAATACTCAATGTAACGTCTAAAAATTGCGAAAAAAAGTCCCAAAAATTTTGGCAAAAATCACCACCAATTTGTGGTGTTCAAAATTTGGTGCGAATTGTCATATATACAGTTGGTGCAAAACAAATATCAATGCACATCACCTATGATTTACTACGTCACAAGTAGGCAGTGTTGCCAAACACTTATAGAGTTTAGAATATCTAAGAATTTTCTAAAATTGTCAAATGGCAAAATGCCAAGAACGAAGGGAAATTTAGGAGTACCTACCTATTCAGGGGCTCATTATAATTAATCAACAAATTCCTTTATCATCTGAAATATATTTAATAGAGCGAGTAAAAAATTTAGTTTACAATTGACCCTTAAAAGAGTACATAGTGAAATTTCTGAGGAAACTTTTGAGGCTAGTAAACTAGAAAATGGAAGAAGAAATTGAAAATTAAAAGTACCGATCGGATGACAACGGCAACTATGCAACTTGACAGTCAGTGCCTACCAACCTACTAATATAAGAAAATACATTAATAATTTTATACGCAAACGTTGAATTTTGGCAATACCTATATATTTTTTTGGATGATTTAATCTGCTTTTTTCTATCATCCCTTGTTAATATTAAATTAAATTCTGCAGGTATTAAGCTTTAAGGTTTATATTTAAAAGTTTGGCACAATGCTTAGCAAGTATGACGACAGTAGTGACGTGCATTGCTATTTGTTTTGCACCGACAATAGTCGAAAAATTGCCGAAAATTATACAAGAAATCAGAATTCGCTACTTTCACCCCTTCAAGATTGGGTATAAAAATACTAAAAAAAACAACAACCTCTTCAATACTCGATAATAATTATACAGAGTGGACCAAAAAGAATATAAGGAATAGAGGAATATCCTTTTATAGCCGCCGCGCCGATGCGTCCGAAAATTCGGCAACGTCGCCCTGAAAACTTCGTCCTCGCTCTTTCGGAATAATAATTTTCGCATGTAAAAATGCAGCCGCTAGGAAGTGCACAGTTAGGATGCATTTAGCGAGCCGTGCGTCGTGGAGGAGAGGGCCGAGGCGGCAGGGCGCGAGGGGGACGCGGAAAGGGATCAAAAAATGCGATCAATAGTGGCTCTCTGCTTCTTAAACTCTCCACAATTGCACTGGAAGCGCTGTCAAAACTGCCCTTACGAGGTGTTCGAACGGCGCGAGGGCGACCGCCCGATTATGCCGGGTAACGCATCATTATTATTATGTTCAATCATGTATAGACAATTTTATTGCAAAAAAAATATTAAATAGAAAAAAAATATATAAAAATTAGTAGAGAAACTAATATTAGGTACATTATAAAATCTCCTATTTAACTGTTCATTTCCATTTATTTTTTTAACACTATAGTAATGAATTATTATTTTTTCTAGTATTACAAAACGGGCACAAAAAAAACCTCAAAAAACACCGCATAAATGCTCTAAATGTTCGTTCTAATTTGCCCAACTTTTTGCCCAATTTCACTCTACTATTTTAATGCATTTAACGATTATTTTTAATGATTATTTCTGTGTCATGCTCTCCTGAACGCGAACGCATTTTCCGCGAACGGAGTTACCTTTTGCGCGGTGGAAAGCGTTCCCGGTGCATGGTGAAAGGTTCCCGGCGTTCTCACCCCAATCCAAGAACCGGAAAAAACATGACATACATACGCAAAATGAGACGGTGCATGCATTTTCGAGCAAAACGCAGTAATTACATATTCACGTGTGCGTTTGCGGACCCATTGTGTTCGTATGGATGAGGGTTTACTTTGAATCAACGTGCTTTTTCAAAGTTCGTTCGGTGGCCCCTTTTGAATGCGTATATATATATTTTTTCGCCAAATGAAAGCTCTTTGCCGTTGAGAATTTTCTTTTCTCTCCAGTTTTTTTTTATTAAATAACTCGTTAATTTCGAGCCACCGGCTGAAATCAAACCGAATCGTAAATGTACTCACCTGACTATACACACAAATATTTTAATTGCAGTTCTAATGACTCTTCCCCCATATATGCAAGAATATAATAAATTAACCTCTCGAGTAGAAACTTTTTAATACTATTGCGAATAAATTATATTATAATATCGCCTTGTATATGTTCCACAAAGTTCACTAAATTACCTATTACATATTCGCCGGCCAAGGTTTAAAAATTGCCGCATTTTTTAACAACATTATTTCTTCATGGAATATCAATTATACATTCAATTTGAATTTAATAGTCACTTCATGAGGCATTAGTAGGACGTTCGGTATAAGTAAACATTTATGTGCATATTATTTATAATAAACTCTTTATGGTTAATAGTCGAGCCGTTGGTTTGTAATGTAAATACCCTCGAATTGATTGTCGACATCGACCTTAAACTATAAATTTAAATCTAGTTAATAACTAGTTTTGTTAGGTACTTTAGGTAGGCTTGAATTAACTTGGTGTACAGTTCAATGGACATAGTAAGGCACACTAGATGCGCGAATTTTTATAGTGTCTTTAGCTATTTCTATTTGTCTGTAAGAAGAATTAGATGCACAATGAATTACTGTGGGAAAATTAATTAAAATAGAATCATACCCTTATTTGTATCATCCTTTTGGAGTTTGGTTGAAACGAATAGATATTTGCCTATTTAATATACCACTAAAAAATACATTTAAAAATTGTTTGTACAAGAATAAAAAATATCTTTCTGTTTCAATTCAATTTCCCGACTTTACCCCTATCTATCTAGCGACTATTTGATCTAAACTCGGCGATAAATTCAACTGTCGTTCGGGCTAAAAATAATCGGTAAGAAATAAATGACTTCCCGTTGTTTAGATATGCCTAAAACCAAGCCCATCGCAAGGCGCCGAAATCGATATCAATTTCTAAATTGAAGGCATACCTTAAAAAACAATATTTTAGCCCGACTGTGCAAATATTTGGCTCCATCCACCCCGGTTCTTTATTGTGTCGGCAGACAGGAGAAGAATCGGCGTTTTAATTTCGTGTGGAAACATCGGAAGGGTTGTTGCTTTGAGGTCTCGACGAAAAAAAAATACTCCGCGGACGTACCGGATCAATTTTCTACGGGGTTTCGTATGGTAATTTTTTGTGCATAATTTGAAATAGTAAGTTTTAATAAAACTTTCCGCTGGTGAAATGTGACGAAAAATTTCGAATTATTGAAATTTAATTAGTAAATAAAGAAGTATTTTAGGTATTCGATCGTAACCGACGGAGGCCTGGGGGGAATAGATGGCAAGAAATACCTGCTGGTTTAAAATAAATAATCGAAACGTTTGTTGCATTCGTAATGCTAAATTATTGAGGACATTTTTTATATTAAATAAATTACTAATTAGTTAATGGGGTTAAATGTTTGGGAAAATTGTTATCAACTCACCAGAATTCGGTCCAAAAGATTTGATTTTCAATCACTCTGAATGTCTGAATCGCTATAAAAATTAGGGACTTTTTGCAGTCAATATATTTAGAAAAATATGTGTATTCTTCTTAAAACAATAACTACCACATTTATGTACCCACGCACGCATTAATAAAAGCAATTATTAAAAAAAACATTTTTAATACAATCAAACATTAACATTCGTCAAACTTTCCGGCGTCGCAACGGTCCCGACGGCCTTTTCAACCCCACGATCCTCCGCTCTTTTAACCTTAACATCATCCAAACCCTTCGCCGGATAGATATTGGTCTCTTCAATGTCTTCCTCATAATAAAACACCACATCCTCGGCGTTGTCGCCCGCCAGAAACGGCTCCCCGTCGTCCTCCTCCAACGTCCTACGCAGCTTCTTCGACCTCTTGAAGTACTCGACGGTCGGCTGGCCGTCGTCGCGAGCGTCGCGGGCGTCGCGAGCGTCGCCGGCGATCGCCTTCGTCGAGTAGCTGTGGCGATAGTGCCCGTCTTTGTTCAGCAATCCGCCTATTTTGCCCAGCTGATCGCCGATCCGCGGACCAGCCAAGTGCCCCACGTGGTGCTCCACTCTCTCCTCCTCGTAGTGTTCGGTGAAGGTCTCGTACTGGTCCCCTGGGTTGCTTGCAGTGTGATTGCCGGGTTCGATCAAGGGCAGGAACTCTTCGTAGTCGTCGGTTGGGTCTGGAGGAGATTGGGGTTGCTGGGGCTTGGGGCTGGTGTCTTCGATGGTCTCCGGTTGGGCGGTTTGGGCGAAGAAATTTCTGATTAGATTGGCGTCGGGACGGGTCGTGTGGTGGAATCTTCCCGGCGAGCCGAAGGGTATTTTGTGCAGCCAATCGGAGCCGCGGGGGAAATTTTTAATGATGGGGACGGATTTGCATGGGTGTAAGAAAGGAGTGGAAAGGGATTTAAACATTTTTACTATAGGTAGGTACACTTAAATTTGTCGAATCACCGTTAATTTTCTTGACTAACTTGTCAGATTTCTACGTTAACTAAGGAATCCATGGAGATTGTCAAAATATAATACCTAAATTCGAAACTTCTGATGTTATAGGTAGATTCTAAGATGAGAGAGCTTTATGAAGAGAGCTTAAAAAATAAATTTAGTCATTATTTAGGCAAATTAAGGATCGCTTTCCAACAAAAAACTAACTTATTTTTTCATGAAAAACTCAGTGAACACTATTTCCCCCTAAAAATTTACTGTAGGTATCATTAATGCGAATAAAATTTAAAAATAATTGACAGTGGAATTTATTTTGGATGCAACAACACTCACAAATTCTGTACACTTATTCAAATTTGGTTCTCCAGAAAAGAATTAAGGCAGAAATACTTCATCGGTGTCCGAATCGGGTTCTTGTTTATATATTATACCGGTTGAGGGGTCGTAATACAGGGAGATTCTCTCATCGCTGTCATCAAATGCGTTTTGGGGCACCTCGATAGGTGTGAAGATTGCTTCATCTTGTGCATCTTGGTGTGGGTCAAGCGAGTTTTTGAGTCTTCGAAATTGTTCGCTATTCAGCAGGGCTTCAATGCTGGAAATTTTCTGATTGAAACATTGGATGTGCCTAGGGAAGAATTTTAAATCGCTTCTCTCGGCAGTTTTGATCCAAAGCCGTTTCGGGCCGTTGTTGAATTTTATTTGTTTGCATTTACGCAATATCGATAGGTAATTCGGTTTTTTCATTCTTCCATTAGGCATCAGAGACAGACAAAAAAGTCCACGTTTTATTTTTAATTTTGATAGGTGTATTGAGTTGAGGCGAAATGTCAATATTGGCATTGTTTGTGACACGTTTATTGTGCTGTTGGTACTGATAGAAATTCAAAGTTGCCAAATTTATTAAAAGAATTCTCATTAATAATGCAATAAAATTTAGGTTTATCGCCTACGACTCGCCCGATCAATTTGCACCACTTTCCCCTAAAATTTTATTAAATTGAAGTATTTCGAATTAAGGGCTTCCTAAGTTTTTTTCCCGAAACGTACCTTAGCCATAAGCAGAAGGCGAATATGCAATCTGACTGCACCGGCTCGGGCTGCATATCGGGACAAGGACTCCCGCCTGGAAATTAAATTCCTCGCGGAAATTGTTCTTTCGAATATTCAAACTAAAAGGCGACTAAGAAATATCGTCCGAGAGATATGCCGGGACGCGCGAAAGGCGAATGGATCGACGATAAATCGCCTTTTCATTTAGTTTGGCGAGTTTTTTAATATGGCATTCATTCGCGCGCCGGGACGAGTGCAATTCGAGTTCCGGTAGTTTGTCGAAAACGGTTTCATATTGCGAAATTGTCGAGAGGAAATTATTGTCTTCGAAAACTTTCATTTGTCGAAGTGCGACGGCCGATCACGAGACTTTAAAATTGAAGTTTAGGAGTCGATAACTGGCAATTTTCACCTGATAGCTTAAAACTTGTCGGGGTAAATGCCCCATGCTCGATGGTAAAACGGTTGTGTGGGAATAAAAAAATTAGTAGATAAGTGCTTGATTTAACACCGGCACTGGTTCACACAAAATCGCATAAAAATGAAGTAATTGCGGTCATAGAAAATCGGCAACCTTGAATTTAATTACAAACTTGCATCAAGATTCATGTTTTAGTGATTCACTCAGATTGTTTGGCATTTGAAAATTGTATGGTTTCTAATTTTTCTTACATATCACAGTCTGTTGAGTCAAGGTTGTCAGTGCGTTTTATTCCTTTTACGGAATTATTTATTTGAAACTGACCGTTTTCCTTATTTATTTCTTTTCATTAAACCGTTATAATGCGTTTCTAAATTGTGAATTTAAACATTCGTTCTCGGGACGGGTTTTTTCAAGGAGAAAGCGAGTCGTTAATTTTTTTTCAACTAGCCATTATAGTGGACAATTTTAGATATTTTTTAACTATTTTTTAATTGTCATTGTTTGTGCGATTTTAGGAATATGTTATGTTTAAGTAATTTCAATTTCTATAGAGAGTTCTTTACTAAAAAAATACTTGGACCAGCAATGTATAATTTTCATTGTTACATGAAGACTAAAAAAAATAAAATTTATTAAAAATTGAACCAACTGAATAAATTATCGAAATCTAGAATGCTAATAAAAAATACAAAAGGAAATGAGCAAGCATTTATTTTAAATTAAAACAGAATGAAATTAAAATTAGAGCAGTCCATTTTTTATACATATTTTTGTACATAAATCGAGTAGACTAATTTTTATAGTTATAATATCGTTGTTTTTGTTTCAAAAATATAAAATTAATGGAACATACGATCGTACGCAAATTGATTCAATTAATAATTCTACAAATGATTCCCCTTGTAACCAGAGAAGCGCGTTTTGATAAAAAACGCGCATCCATTGATCCCTCCGAATATAAAATTGAATCACTGCATTATTTATTTATTTAGATGCGTTATAATTAATTTCGTTACTGAAACTGAACTCTATTCTATTTATTTTCCATTCGAAATAAACGACGGGCATTTTTATGATCAAACACACTTTCATGTTTAACAGGGAAAATAGTCAAAAACATATTTTGTTTTATATGAAATCATGCCAAAAGCAGAGATGATTGTTTTTTAAAAAATTGAAATTTATTCGCTCGAATAAAATAAATATTTCAGTTCGTTTGAGTGGCATGAAAAGTTCATTTATTATTGAAAATGTGCAGTAAGCGATACGAGGCAGAGGAAAACTGATAAAACAACTTTGTATTGTTTGGTTTATGCGAAATTGACTATAGTACCTACTCAATTGATCAAAGTTTATATGTTTTAGAGCATATCAAAAATTTAGGTTGACATTTGACACTAAAAATTATACATCGAAAAAAACCAGCATTCCCCAAAATCCATGTTCCAACCGCAAAAGTCCTCTTCCCTATTCAATTACAGGAACCTATTCGAAGAATACACGCTACACAACATCGAAAATCCCAATTTAAACAAGAAATGTCACGTGTCGAGGTGGCAGGAATTCTACATGAGCAAAATCCAGCAGCAACGGCCCCACGACCCCGACTGGCTCCATCACACTCCTAAGCAGGAACGTATTGTTCCTGCGACGCCGAAAACCTGCCATCAGTATTCCCAAAAAGAACAATGCAACACCTACGCCAAAAGCGTCGAGGTATTTGCAACCTGCAGCACCGACTACAGCGGGATTTACCCGTCGAGAAGTTCCTTTCAAACCGTTAAACACTAGTGGAACTTAATGAATCTATTAATCATCTAATTCTAATTAAAAAAAATATACAATTACGTTTAAATTTTGTTATTGCGGCAATAAAATAATTGTTTTTGTGAAGATTATAGGGGAAATGTTGGTACGATATGTAGAAAAATATGTAAGTTGGCAACCTGTTAATTTGACATATATAGGTTATGTCTTGCAAACAAAATTCCCCAAAACAATTGTATACAGGGTGTGAAACTTTGATATATGAAACAACTTTTTTAACGACATTATATTTATTGTAATTAGTGAATTAATTGGTAATTAAAACGACTAATATTACATGTACAACAATGGGAATAAATCATCGAGTTCGTGATTGTGCACAAATCTCAATAAAAATGCAACCTTAACATTCAAACTATTACACATTTGTACCACACCCCGTTACACAAATATGTCATGCCCATTATTAGACAGATAAATTAGCGTTCAAAGACAATATTCTGTAATTACAGAGAAACAGAGGCCTTTCGAAGAAATAGTAACAGTAAGTTTTATATCGTCGAATTTTTATGTACATGGAAGTTTAGATACTTATGCGCCGTGATTTCAACAGATCGACATTTAATTGCAACCTTTTATAACGTATTGTTTTGGTTCACGTCATAATGAATTTATTGTTCCTTCTAAGTTGTGTTCATTTAATTTTCTATATTCGATAATTAACGTACACGAATTGGTTAGAAAGTACATTTTAAAATGGAATTAGTTAGGAGAATTAATGATTTATTCGCATATTTAACGTGACATTTTGAATAAACAGTCAAAATTTGACAGTAATGACGTTAATTAGATGTTTTTGGGTTGTACGAATTAATAATTAAAAAAATAATAGGTTGTTATTAAATATTTATGAAATGTTTAAAAATATTCCATGCACTTTATTACCTACTAATAGCAGTAATTATTTCGTTAAACCGAAACTGTATCAAATGAAATTCGAAAAAAGCTGTAACCTCTAAAATTACCTATTTATTCGAGTGCTCACAACTGCAATTTCCCAATACAATTAAATTAGATCCAGAATTTATGGTACGATGAGTAATTTCTCTTTAATTTGGGATATTATTCATTTAATAGAAGCAATTATGCGAAATAACGTGAAATGCATTTTCGAGCCATGTTTTAATTTCCAAAATTCAAATATTTTATTCATCATTTAACAATTTTATAAGTACACTAAAAAATGCATATGTCATGACATAACCTTCAAAAGTCATTTTGACATGTATATCAGAATATTATGTTCTGTGAACATCCAACCTATCAGCTTTTAGTATAAGCTTTAGGGACTTATTTAGAACATTAACGCAGCACAAAAAGTATGAACAAAGCGATTTAGTATAGGAAACAAACATAACTATAACAGATACTCGAATATTTTATCGAAAACGGCAGCGAATTTGCATATTCGTTATTTGCGATACTCGCTTATTTGTTTATTCATAACGATGACGAATAAATCGAGTTTCGATAAGTGCGCTTGCATTGTGTTTGAAATTGCGTATAGGCGGATATTTTTGGAAATTGAGGTGGGTCAAGGCTCCGGTGCCTTTTGTTCGCTCACGTTCGACGGGTAATGGGTTTTCGCAAAAACCGAAACGTGTCTTCTTTGTTAAATTCGTCTTAAAATATAACCGCTCGTATTTTTTTTGTTAATTAAAATCGCCGAGTTTGTAAATGGGTTTTTGTGTATACACTACGCAGTCCTAAAAGTTCCATAACTGTAGCGAATTTAATTACATATAGTACATAGAAAGAAAAGTTTATATCATATGTCCTAAACCTCTTAGTTTATACGAGATGCGGGGTGTTACATCAGTTTTAGAAAAAAAGTAACTTCCAGATATTTTTATGAAATTTTAGTACACACTTTTTAATTATTAAGGAGCACTTTTTGAGGCAAAAGTACAAAAGTAAAAAAATAGTAGTAAGAAATAGTACGCCACTGCTTTTTCTAAAAACCAAAATTATTTTTAAAATCCTCATTTATTTTGGGGCTAATTCGGTCCGACGACTTATGTACTTTCGTACGACGAACCATTTTTTCATAAAAAAATAAAAACAAAAACAATTTTTTTCCAAGTTGTCAAAGTTCATTGAGACTGGCTTTTGATATTTTGTTGAAATTTGGTAGGCGCCCACCATATATGGAAACACTTTTTTTAGGGGACAAAAAATTATTTTTTACTATTACCAGTGACGTCTACGTCCGAAATTTCAAAAAAAATCTGGAGTAATAATAAATTATGATAGAAAAATATTTTTTTCCTAAAATTGTAACGCCCTGTAGCTCGAAAACTAAGAGGTTAAGGACATATATTGATATACATAAACTTTTCATCTTAAAATCATCCAAACATTCACATCCTGAATGATCGGCACTCAATTAATTAACACCTCGTATATTGCATGCATCATATTAGAAATTAAATTTCCCATACAAAATCGACAATCGTACAATTTTTCATACATATACGCATCATACCAATAACCTTTTGTTGTTTTTCACACACAACGGAATTTCCTTGTAATTTTCATACAGCGGCTAATCAGGACATCTCGGGCGCTTCTCGAGCGCGCGCGTACAACTCCAGCGAAGCTCGTATGAATAATTTCGAAAATTTTTCAATCGCATTGAAAGATCGCCTTCGCTGATTGGCACGCAAACGTTATCGCGGTTCTTTGCTCGTTGTTGATACATCCGTGTTACTTCTAAATCCAATTAGCGCTGCCTGTTAAATAATATCGAGAAATGACGGCCGAAGAAAAAAACCGCGCGGAGGAACTGTGAGAAATTCAATTGATGCGGATGATAATTGTTCGCATATCGCGTTTGTTCAGATTTCGCTTATGGTAGAGAAAAAAAGGATTGGTGTTGGTAAAAAAATCGAATTTGAAGATATTAAATAGAGCGTATTGTTTGCGTAACAATTAAGGATAAAAAATACGAATTTATAGTAAAAAATGGCATATAAAAATTAAAAGCTACTTATGCGAACGTTTTCTATAGCTGCGTACAAATTATCTATTAATCACAATGAATTTTTTAATTAGCCATTTATTGACTCGAATTTTTTCATACATTGTTAAAACATTGAAAATTAAGTTGCCTAACATTTACGATTAGCAATGTTATAATTACAGGTGATATCTGTACATAGATAAATGGCAATACTCTTGAAATAAAAAAATTAAAATAAGAAAATGAACCATTTATGCTCTCTAAATGAAAATTATTTTGAGTTACAAAATTTAAGTGCATAAAGTATTTTAATTTAATCAAAGAAACTTATTCAACACCTATACATACTTTTGATTTGTAAATGTTAGTACAAAAGGTAACTTTATGCAAACTAAAACCTACCTTTTAAAGATATCACGACTACTCAATTTAACTCATACAGGGTGATACTTTTTAGTATGCACCATAAAATTATTGATGTATCTAATAAAAAAAACATGCAACACTTACATTATATTAAGGATATAAATCCGTAAACACCAGCAACAACAAACGCAATTCGACCGTCATCATCTCATCGCATCACACACAAAACCGCGTAGTATATATTTTTATAGCAAAAAAAAATTACAAGAAAAAAATAGAACTGTTTAATCGTCCCGACGCTCGTCGACGTCGTTATATTCGCGCTCGTACAATTTTCGGTTAGCGGCGTCGTTCCCTATGCCCGCCGATGTGCCGGCCCGACGTACTGTTGCATTGCTGCAATTGCGGTGTCTCGATGCATTTTCCACTCGACCTTGACACTCTTCTGTGCGTTCGGATATTATAATGCACCGGCCCCGGCTGTCCGATAAACCGCGGCCACATGTTTCTTGGCTCTCGTGCACCAACTCGCCTTCCTCGGGCCCGCCATGCCATCGGGAAACAGTATTGCGAAATTCGCTCGGGTTTTTGGATCTTTTGTGTGTACCGAACTGCTGGTTCTTTGAGATATATAGGATGTCCCAAATGCTGTAAGACATTAGGCGGTATTTATAAAAATAAGCAGAGCCTTTTGCTTCAAAAAATGAAGGAATTGATTCAAGTTGTATGCATAAAAAGAAGAGAAGGAAGAGAGGTTTTGCTTCGAGGGCCCTGCTGTTGCTTTAAAGCAAATGGTTTTATGATTTTAAAATTTTTGTATAAGGTTTTAGAACATTTCTCTTATTTTTTGCCTCTACCTTTTACTTCAAAGTAAATGCTTCATTATTATAAATATGGACTATTGTCATACTCCGTTCGCTAGCAGGAATAGTACAGTAGAACCTAATTTTGTATGCTAAAGTATTCGGTTTTCTAATTTTAGGAGTGGATCAATAGAGGAAGTGCGCCATATATGGACCACCATAAGCACTTTTCTCAATAAAAAGTCGAAAGCAATTCCTTAACCATTTAGTTAAAAAAAACTCTAAATAAAATTCTCCAAAAAACAAAATCTTTGAAATAAATAACATTTTCTAAAGTGAATTTTCAGAAAGTGAACATAATATGGACCACATCCAGATTTTTCCCTTTCTAGAATATAATTGACTAATTCATCTTCCAATTCACTCGGTAATGTTGATTGTATCCCAAGTTTTTGGGTGGTGATATCGTTAAGTGATTTGTTTTGGAAGCATTCAAAAAGCTCAATTTCTTTTCTCGTGCATTTTTAATTGCCTCCGCTATTGCGTTTTTTATTCCATGCTTGTCTGGTCTTCTCTATTGTTTTCGAAGCCATTCTAGAACATAAAAATTAATTTTTAGTCACTCCATATTTAAAACGTGCCACTGGTCCATATTGTGATACTTATTCATTTTGAGATTATTATTTTTTTTCAGAAAATTGGAGTATTATAGAATATTAAAACTTAATACAATTAATTGCAACATAGCTCACCTTCCTTGAGGTCTTATCCACTTTCACATAAGATAGTATTTTTTGGATTAAAAAATTTCCAAAGTTCGCTAGAAAATTACATAGATCCTGAGTGCATCCTGGATCACTGCAAGCGACAGATGGGTCAAGGGAGGAGTGATGCTT